CCGGCGCGCCGCAACCTCTGCGTCGGAGCGCACGACGGACTCCGCACGCGCAGGCGCTGGCGCGGGCCGCTGATCTTCGAAACGGCGACGAATCTGATCGGCGGCAGCCATCGGAGCGACAGGGACGCTCGCGGCAGGACGTGCAGGAGGAAACGGACGGGGAGCGAGATCGCTCACCGCGGAACACCCGCGCTCAGGAGCAGCCAGGAGATCCATCGGAGCAGAGGGATGATAGCGCTCGCCCAACGGGCGGCCGACGCGGCGGAGGTAGAGCTGCAGGCCGGGGAGGGCGAGCAGCTGGGCGTGGCGGGAGGGCTCGAGGAGGCGGTCCTGAGAACGTGTACCAGCAGGCGGGACGGAGGGCTTTAACTGAGATGAGCAACGATAATAATTCAACCACTTCAGACGGCAGCTTTGTAGCTGCAGAATCTACGGACTCGACCTCTAGCTCTGAGTCACTGGAAGACGAGCAGCAACAGACCCCTGCTCGAGCGAGCAGGCCAACCGCAACTCACCTGCCGGGGGGAAACTCAGCAGTGAGATCCAACAGGAGGGGTCCCCCAACACCAACCCGTGCCGCATCGGGAAATTTCGCCACTCCACCAATCCCAACCCCGATTTCCAACATTCAGACCCCTACCCACACCGCCCCCCAACCTGCACCTGGCGGTAACCACGTCCCAACCCAACCCTTAGAGGAAAAATCCCCAGAAACTCTCGCCAAGGACGACACGCTATTCGCCAGCGTTGTAGCCTGGGATCTCACGAAACTACGCGACTCTCGCCACGCACCCCTTTCCCGCCACCTCCCTCCAGACCCACGCAAGCTTTTCGCCACAGCCTTGTTGGCGCCGCTGCTGCGCTTGGCGAAATATCCAGACTCTACCTCTGCTTGGACGGTCGTTCTATTCCTGGCACGCTTAACACTTCGCCAGCTGTCCCCACGACGTCCAGATTGGAAGGCTGTCAGTGCCCGCCTTCGTCAGTTTCTGTCCGGGGAGTGGGATAAGCTATACAATGAGACAGTGGGCTCACTGACGTGGCCCCAACCACCTAGACACCAGCCCGATGACATTGGTGTCATCGCTAGGGCAGAGGGGTTGGCACGACGTGGCAGCCTACGACGAGCCGTGATGGCACTGGAAGCCACGCCAGTCAGCATTCCCTCCCCAACTGTGCTGGAGGCCCTGCGCGCCAAACACCCACCAGCGCCCGCCTCCCCACCTGACTGGACTTTTCCAGCACCTGACCCCCACCTATCAGCACCATTTGCAGTCTTCTCCAAGGTGCTGGGAAGCTGCGAGATGGGGGTAGGAGCGGGCCCCTCTGGAACCACGTTTGAACACTTACGCGATGCAGCGCTGATCAACCACTCCGTTGGGAAGCACCTTCACGCACTAGTCAACACGATTCTCACGGGAAACCTACCTCCTGTAGTGGCCGAGCTCCTCACCGCCTCGAGATTAATTGCCCTGAGCAAGCCCGATGGGGGGACGCGGCCGATCGCCATCGGCGAAAGCATAACGCGCCTCGCGGCCAAGACGGCGCTTACCTTGACCGCAGGGGCCGCCCGTGAGTTCTTCCTACCGCACCAGTTCGGCGTGGCTGTCCCTGGTGGGGCGGAAGCGATTATCCACATCACACGCACTTACCTCACGGTGAACACAGGAGCTTTGGTCCTGCAGGCTGATCTGGCGAACGCATTTAACAGCGTCAACCGCGACGCCATCATCAAATCTCTTCGGGACTCCACCCTCGCCTCGCTCTTACCGTTAGTTAAACTGCTGTACGGCCTCCCCTCGGCTCTATGTCTGGATGCTGGCTTCTCACACCCACCTCTGCTGAGCGAGACCGGGGTGCGACAGGGAGATCCCCTCGGCCCGCTGTTGTTCGCTGCCGCCATACACCCTGCACTGACGAAAACAGCGCTCACCTTCCCCTCTGTCGTCTGTCTTGCCTATGCGGACGACGTAACTTTCCTTGGAGATGCAGCCACGTGTGCAGCAGCGTTTGAGGACTTCACAGGAAACCTTGGGGAGATTGGGCTGCGCCACAACCCCGCCAAATGCGCAGCCTGGTCCCAGGCAGGCCGACAGGCAGCTGCGCTACCAGTGGGCGTACCTTTCACTGAAGATGGGGTGAAGGTGCTTGGCAGTTTCATCGGTGGCAGTGACGCAACTGCCGCGTTCCTACGTGCCAGCCTCGACACCATGGGCGGGCCGTTGCCCTTAATAGCGCGGATGGAGCCACAGCTGGCTTCCCTTCTGCTTTCTCGGTGCATCTCACGAAGGATCGCTTACGTCGCCCGCACCACGCCGCTTTCAGCCCTGCCAGTCGAGGAGTGGTCAGACTGGGGTAAAAGGCTGTTTGAGACACTGCTCGATGCCTGCGGCATTCGCCACCCACGGGGGGAGGCCGAGATTTCACGTACCTGGGCGCAAGCGTCACTCCCCATCTCGCTCGGCGGTTTAGGTCTCACAGACCCCTCGGTGGAGGGACGTGTTGGGTTTCTCGCAAGCTACACGCAAGCGCAGCACCTGCTCACCTCCATTGATGAGTCGGCGGTCGGCGCCCTGGCGGAAACGCGGATCCAGATGGTGGGGCCCTTCATCAACACGTCCCCGCTCTTTGACTGGCTGGAGAGGTGTGAGGAGTCACTGCCGGATGATGGGAAGGAGCTGCTGCAGAGCGACCGAGTTGATCCCAAGGGCGTCAAGCTGCAGCACGGGCTGGCAATCGCGGTCCACGGACTGCGCTACGCGGAGCAGGTGCAGGCTACACGCATCATGCCTCTCAACCCAATGAGCGGGCACACTCAGCGCATGCTCTCACTCTCAGGGTATGGGGCAGGAGACTGGCTCAATGCAGTCCCCTTCAACTCGACACTACGGCTTGCCCCTGCTCACTTTGCGCATGCGCTGCAATTCCGGATGGGGCTACCCTCCTCAGCTCCAGGCGCGTGTGACTGCCGCAAGGAGACAGCGATCCCAGACAGGCGGCTGCCCAACCACCTGCTGCGCTGTGACACAGGGAAGGGGCGGACCAACACGCACAATGAACTGCGCGATGCGTGTCTGCACATGGCCGCCGACGCTGATTTCATGACTCACAGTGAGACGACCACGTTCTGCCCCGTCACCCTTAAGAAAGCAGACATAGCGATCCGGGACAAGTCCTCAGGGGCGGTGTGGATAGGGGACGTGACCATCACGGACCCCATTAGCACACGGGATCCCAACGCGGTTAAGGGCAGGGGGTGGGCGGCCAGAGAGGCGGCAGAGAAAAAGATCTCCGACTACGAGGGCTCAACGGCCTCGTGGGTCGGATTCTTCCCTCTCGCCGTTGATACCTACGGCTGCCCCTGCGCGGAGGTCCCTCAATTCCTCAAACTTCTGGCCGACACCGGCGCGCGCAGGCTCTTCAACGCTGCCCCCTCATCTTACCAAGCAACAAAGCTGCTGCATCAGTTCCGCCAGCGGTGGTCCGTGGCGCTGCAGCGGGCGCAGTCGGTGAGCTTCATGACGAAGTGCAACTATGCGGCTCAGATAGAGAACCCACCTGTGGCGCTGCCGGGCGAAGGCATGTCCCTCGGGGACTGCCTTGCCATCCTGGAGCCTGCACTGGAGCTGCCTTAGAGGGTGAACGAGAGTAGGTAGGATATGGGGGTTATAGAGGCTGAGGTGCATTGCTCCTTATAACCTTGTGCATGTCTGTACCGTGCTCGGATCTAATACACGGACCGCTTGAGAGAGAGAGAGAGAGAGAGAGAGAGAGAGAGAGAGAGAGAGAGAGAGAGAGAGAGAGAGAGAGAGAGAGAGAGAGAGAGAGAGAGAGAGAGAGAGAGAGAGAGAGAGAGAGAGAGAGAACCTCATCGGCACTGCGAGGTGCGTGCAGCCCTTTCGTGTTACTGTGAGCAGCGCACTGAGCATTGAACACGGCACTGTCACAGATGCCTTCAGGGGCAGGTGGCGACGATGATGGGGAAGGAGGCGGGGCTGTTCGTGCCGCCCGGCACCATGGGGAACCTCATCTGCGTGCTCGTGCATTGTGAGGTGCGTGCGTGCTAGCTTGTACGCGTTATGGTGCTCTGCGAGGTGCGTGTGTGTGTGTGTGTGCTTACTGCTTGTATGCGTTATAATGCACCGTGCTTATATGCCACTCTCCTCCTGCTGTTCCGCCCCCTGCCTCCCTGCTCTTCCAGGTGCGAGGCAGCGAGGTGATATTGGGGGCGGATTCGCACATCATCGTGTACGAGCAGGGGGGGGTGGTGTAGACTCCCACATCAGTGTGTACGAGCAAGGTGGTGTGGCCACACTGGGGAGTGTGCATCCGCGCACGGTGGTGAACAAGGCGGACGGCACCATGGACCTCAAGAAGGTGGAGCTGGCCATTTCTGCCCCCCGCCTTTCACCCCTCTCTCCCCCCTTCCTCAACCACTCTCCTGCTCTTCCGCTCCCTCCCTCCGTGATGGCACAGGTTCGAGGCAGTGAGGTGATTCTAGGGGCGGATTCCCACATCAGTGTGTATGAGCAGGGTGGTGTGGCAACACTGGGCAGCGTGCATCCGCGCACGGTGGTGAACAAGGCAGACGGCACCATGGACCTCAAGAAGGTGGAGCTGGCTATCAGGAAAGACGATGAGCATTACCCGGTTACCAGATGCATCTGCCTCGAGAACACCCACAACAGGTGATTTTTCTTTATATTCGAGTTCATTTCATTTGTATCAATAGCAGAGTCATTCATGCCAATGTCAATGGAAGCGTCACTCATAACACTCTCAGTGTTATTCATATCAGTTTCAATGTCACTAATACCAGTGACAATGACACTCATATCAGTGTTTATGTCACTCATATTAGTTTCCATGAGAATCATATCAGTCTCAATGCCATGTGACGTGACTGCGTGGTGCAAGGCAACCATCATGGCACCATTCGTGAACGGCAGCGGTCCGGTCCCTGGTATGTGGCTGCCGAGAAACGCACGAGCCTTCTCCAGGACAGAGACGATCCTGATCTCGACGAGTGGCATCGAAGTTACTGAAGGCCTAAGCCGTGAACAGCCCCTGTGGACGTATCAGGTGCATGATGTTCGTGCCTGCCGCGTTCTTTGAAAGAGTTGAGACTGATATGAGTCTCAATCACAAACATCAAGCACCAGGTACGTCCATAGTGGGGTGTTCACGGCTTAGGTCTTTAGTGTCTTCGATGTCATTCGTCGAGACCAGCATGGTTTTTATCCTGGAGAAATCGCGTGCCTTCTCGGCAGCCACATATCAGGGATTCTTGTCTTTCACAGATTGTGTCATGATGGCTGCTTTGCACCATGCAGTCACATTGTGTAGGTACTCGGAGACAAGTCTGATGCTGTGCTCTGCGCTGTGTTCCAGGTCCTTGCCGTCATTGACTATGCGGTGCTCAACCTCGCAACACACATGAGACACATAATACATAAATCTCAAGATGGCATGTGTCGTGACCTCACCCTCTGTTCCACCTTTGCGCTCTTCTTGCGCTTCCCTGCTTTCCCTCTCTCCTCACGTCGCATCTTCCCTTCTCTGCTCTCTGCCTTCCTCCTTCCTTGTCCCAGGTTCCATCTCCTCCCCCTCTTCCCCTTTAGTGTCCATGCATCCCTTTAGTGTCAATGCATCCCTTTAGTGTCAATGCATCCCTTTAGTGTCAATGCATCCCTTTAGTGTCAATGCATCCCTTGAGTGTCAATGCATCCCTTTAGTGTCAATGCATCCCTTTAGTGTCAATGCATCCCTTTAGTGTCAATGCATCCCTTTTGAGGCGCCTCAAAAGTCTTCCCCTTTAGTGTCCATGCATCCCAGGAACAAGCCTCGCAATACCAGTGCTGTGCGCAGACTATTGCTCGAGCTCCTAACACTGCTAGCTTCGAATTGAAGTCAGAATTGCAGTATTGAAAGGAACAAACAAGCAAAATGCAAGCAAACATTCGGACCCCCTCCAGATCTATCCTTGCTACCTCCCAGCGTGGCCTTCTGGCTCCTGGTGCGCGAAGAAACCTCTTCGGCGCACTCCCAGGGTGCTAGCTGGCTACCTACGAGCTAGCTGGAATCCAGCTTTCCCACCGCCATCCAACTTCGCACCGCAAGCATTGGGTTTCTCCTCCCAATTCCCTCGCGCCTTGGGCACACCAACCCCCTCGGAACCTGCCCAACAACTCTCTCCCAAAACGAAATAGCAAGCACAGTACAGTATAGTACACAGTGAAACGAAACCAAGTAAAAGCAAACGCAACAAATTTACTCTTGCTGCTGCAATATTTCAGCTACGAGCTCAAGTGTGTACTTTCCAACCCTCACTGCCTGTACTCTCTGTGCTTCCCTGTGCGCTCCGCCTTCAGGTGCGGTGGGCGGGCCATAACAGTGGACTATACAGAGCGACTGGCAGAGTTGGCGTCGTGGTACGGGCTCAAGTTTCACATTGACGGAGCAAGAATATTCAACGCCGCTGTTGTGAGTTATTCAGTAGAATAGGTGCCATACATACGTCATTATACATTCGTAGCCGTATACTTAATCAATGCATTCTAGCCTTCCCGCGCTACCTATTAATTCTCCGTGTGTGCGGCTGGCTCGTGCGAGGCTCTCTGTCTGCCCATGAATGGATAGCCTTGTACGGCTATATTCAAAATCACTTTTGAGAATTCTCAAAACTCTCTGCCTCGTCCGGACGGCACACAGTGGTTGCATTTTGTTCCTGCCTATGCGTCTTCTATGTATGTATGTATGCCCTCTTCTCTGCCTGCCGCTGTTGATTATTTCCACGCCGAGAATCGCCTGCTTTGCCTCGCCCCATATCCATCCAGTGGTGCCCTTCATTCATTCCTCCCCATCCTCTCATGCTCTCTCTTGTGCTCCATCCGCCCTTATCCGCCTCTGCGTGCTCGCTGCCTGCCGCTGTCGATTCTATCCAGGCCCTCAGAGTGCCAGTGGATCGCCTAGTCCGCCCTGCACATAGTGTTTCTGTGAGTGTAGGGGGGGGAGGAAGGGGGAGAAGTGGGGGTGGGGGTGCGGTGCTCTGTGAGAAACAACGATCACAGGAATGAATGAGTTAGCAAGGAACATGCGTTTTGCTTTATTTGTTCTCTCCTCGTGCACTCTGTGTCTTTGAGCTGCCCTGCCCTGCCCTGCCCTGCCCTGCCCTGCCCTGCCCTGCCCTTGTGCTGAGGGATGATTGTGCATCCCTGACCACTGGACCGCAACGACGACGTAGACGTGTCAGACGTGTCTTTGAGCTGCCTTTTTGTTTGAGGTTGATTTTGAGAATTCTCAAAATCAACCACATCCCTGACCACTGGACTGCAACGACCACGTAGACATGTCAGACGTGTCTTTGAGCTGCCTTTTCGTTTGAGGTTGATTTTGAGAATTCTCAAAATCAACCGCATCCCTGACCACTGGACTGCAACGACCACGTAGACATGTCAGACGTGTCTTTGAGCTGCCCTGCCCTGTGCTGAGCTGAGCACTCTCTTTGGCTCGGCTTGAAAAGGGTTGTTTGTGAGAACTGAGCTTAGAATCAATACATAAGTAATGAGCTCGAAGCTCCTGAAGTACATCCGAATGAAGCAAGGTATGGATGAGAAGGGAATCGGGGCCAATTTCTAGGGATTGAGGGTAATCCCAAGGCAATCCCCAATTGGTGGGTTGAAGATTGCTTGGAGATCACATTTGGGTTTGGTTGGGATGTGGGTGTACACCCAACCAAACACAAAGTGCTAACTACACTAAGCTAGGATATAAAAAGTACAAGTACAAAACGTGAGATTGAGGGCTAACACTAACATTAGCTTGGCACACTTGTTATAGCATGTACATACATGTGGCAACTCGCCTTGCCTGCTGTTGACGTGGCAAATCAGCTCGCCTGTTTCTGATGATGTGTGGCAACTTTCCTGCCTGTTTGCCTGGTTTTTGAGGCGCCTAAAAAAAAGCCTGTTTCTGATGATGTGTGGCAACTTGCCTGCCTGTTTGCCTGGCAGGTGTGCCTATCGAAAGGACTCGGAGCACCGGCAGGCAGTGTGATTGTGGGCTCTATGGAGTTCATCGCCAAGGTATGGTGTTTTGTTTCCGGGTAGGGCAATCACACACCTCTCTCATTAGCGCCAGCAGGCAGGCAGGCAGTGTGATTGTGTGTGGGCTCTGTGGAGTTTCACTGCCAAGGTGCGGTTTGCATTGCTCTGTATTGCTGCGCACTGCCTTGTTGTGGTGATGACTTGGAGTGGTTTTGCAATCGAATCTCTCTTCTTAGCGCCAGCAGCAGGCAGTGTGTTTTGCGGGCTCCGTCCGTTATACCTGTGCAACGAGGCGAGCACGAGTAATGCTCGACTCGTCCCTAGCCATGCTCGGCCGAGTACGAGCCCGAGTCGAGTAATACTCGACGGAGCAATTTTCCCCCAAACAGATACTCGTTACTCGCCTTCTTTAGGGAAACTCGGGCGAGCAATTTGAAAAACTCGTCCGAGTACGAGTAATGCTCGGCCATGCCCTCTACAGGGCTTAAAATGCTCGGCGAGTCCCCTAAATGCTCGCCTAAAAGCAAGCGAGTACTCGTCGAGCAAAAAAAACTCGGCGAGTAATACTCGGCTCGACTCGGCCGAGTAAATTTTACAAAAAACGAAACTCGTTACTCGCACCCAAACGAGCAACTTGGCCAAGTCCGAGCGAGTAATTCGCCTCGTTTCTCAGGTATACCGTCCGTTGCATTGCATTGCATTGCGTTGAGTTCATCATAGCCAAGGTGCGGCCTTTGCATCGCTGTTCTCTGTTCTCTCTGCTCCGTTCTTCTCGGTGCTCTGCTCAGCTCTGCATTGTGTTGTGGTGCGGTGTTATGCTATCCTGAAACGCCTCTGTAATGATCCTCTTATCCTGTAGTGTACAAGTGCTACCCTGTGATTCCCTTCATACAAGCAAAGCAGCTAGCAAAATCCCACCCCTTGACCCACACTCATTTGAACCCCACCCTTTTGACCCCCAATCCTTGACTCCCACTCCTTGTCCCCCCACTATCCTCCCCCTGAAAGCTCGTCGCTTACGGAAAGCACTGGGCGGCAGCATGCAGCAGGTGGGCGCGCTGGCAGGCAGGCAGCTCTACAGCTGCCTCCCCGTCTTCCTCCCCGTGACCCCCCACTGTTCTCCCCCTACAGGCCCGTCGCCTGCGGAAAGCACTGGGCGGCAGCACTGCTGCCCTCCTATTCACCCCCACCCATTGACCTCTTTCCCCCATCCCCTGAAGGCTCGTCGCTTACGGAAAGCACTGGGCGGCAGCATGCGGCAGGTGGGCGTGCTGGCAGCGGCAGGGCTGGTGGCGCTTCAGGAGTCGGTGCCTCGGCTCATCAGGGACCACCAACGCGCCATGCAGCTCGCAGGTATGCTGTGGTGCTGTGCTGTGCAGCTCGCAGGTATGCTGCGGTGCTGTGCGGTGCTGTGCTGTGCAGGTTGCAGGTGTGGTGTTGTGGGGTGTGCACTTATTTGTGATGTCCCTGTGTGTGTGGGAGTGAAGTGTTTGCCAGTGCTGGCAGCAGCATTAGCGGGTCGGGTGGCCCTTCAGGAGTCGGTTCCTCGGCTTATCCAAGAGCACTAACGAGCCATGCAGCTCGCAGGTACACGCAGGTACAACGGTGTGCTGCTCTGGTGTGCACGTAAGTGCAACGTCAGGTGGGGTGGGCGTGCTGGCAGCAGCGGGGCTGGTGGCGCTTCAGGAGTCGGTGCCTCGGCTCATCCGAGACCACCAACACGCCATGCAGTTTGCATTATCCGTCTCCCTGCATGTTGGGCTCCGCTTCCTCCCTCCCACTCCTCTCCGCTTATTCCTCCCTCCACTATGCTGCCTCTGCAGAGGGGTTGGAGACAGTGGATGGGCTGGCTGTGCATGTTTGAGGCACCTCAAGCAAGGCGCCTCAAGCACGTGAAATTTAATTGGTTTTGAGACATCTCAAAACCATTGGATGGGCTGGCTGTGGATGTTTGAGACGCCTCAAGCAAGAAAAAAAAAAAAAAAACAATCCTCCTCCCTCTCAATTGTTTCTGCCTGTGCAGAGGGGTTGGATACATTGGATGGGCTGGCTGTGGATGTGAGCACGGTGGACAGCAACATTGTGAGTGCAGCGGTGGTGATGATATGGATACAGAGGAATTCAACAGTTTCAAAGTGGGTGTAAAGAGGTGCCCTCAGAAGGATACATTGGATGGGCTGGCATTGGATGTGAGCACAGTGGACAGCAACATTGTGAGCACAGTGGACAGCAACATTGTGAGTACACTGGCCGGTCATCACAGCGGCAATACAGAGGATTCAATGCCACCCAGATTGCCACCACAAGGGGAAGGAAGAGGAAGTAAACAAAGCAAAGCAACATATGCCAGGTGCTCTTGATATTTGTTGCATTCAGGTGCCAAAAACAAAGGATGTGACGATGGGTGATTGGCCCATCTGTGATTGGCCCATCGGAGCCAAGGAGCTGTGCGCACATGATTTTCTTCGTAGCATGCGTAGAGCCTGATACGTGTTGAAGTCAAACTAACATGCCCTTGATATGTGCTTAATTCAGGTGACAATGGATGTGAAGGCCGATTGCCCTATAGGAGCTGAGGAGCTCTGCAATGCTCTGCGGCAGGCTGGCGTTCTCACCACGCTGCGCAGCAACAACAAGTGAGTGTGGTCCGCCCGACCAAAGCATCTGGAATAATGAAATGGTCCGCATGCTCTGCGGTGCTCTGCAGCAGGCTGGCGTTCTCACCACTCTGCGCAGCAACAACAAGTGAGTGTGGTCGGCCAAAGCACCTTGAATAATGTAAAAGCTCTGCAATGTTCTACGGCAGGCTGGCGTTCTTACCACCCTGTGCAGCAAGCAACAACCAGTGAGCTTGTTTGAATGAGTTGCAGTGTGAATACTGTGCAGCGCAATGATGATTTGCAGTGCAGTAGTGTGGTATTTCGCACCACCCACCCAAGAGATTGTACTGAAAAGGCTGTGGAGTCTTCGCATTTCAGCTTACATGTGGGATGCTTTTGACTAAGGTAGCTTCCGGCTTTGCTTCTGCATTGATCTGTAGTGTGTGTATGAGATTCTTATTCCACTAACTTAATTGCTTTTCTATTCATCCGCTCTTATCGTCCCCTCCCAGGATCCGAATGGTCACACATTACCACATCACAGCAGAAGACATACGATACACTCTCGCATGCACACAGGTACATTGTTGAGTTGATGGATAGTACGGCATTTTCGGCATTGTATTCATGTTTCCTGCTCTGGCATTGCTGTATTGTGGGTTCTGTGGTGTCCTCATTTTTTGGGGTTGAAAACGTGCAGCAAATTTTGCTCAAGTCATCCCTTGAGGAGGAAGACTCTACGTACATATGACCTTCTGAGAGGCAAAATCATGAAGCTTATGCAACAGGAATTGCAGGACTAGGTACGGTACCGGTGTTATACAGATCGAATTTTGTAAACAAGTCTGGCTGTAGTCAAGGTTTCTGATGTTGAAAGAGCTTGCTGCGGGCACGTTCATATCTGCCTGAGTTGAGGAATTGTGCAAGGCCATTTCAGAAGGGTTGGGAGTCGGGACTAAATACGATGAAATACTGTAGAAGAGATCAGGGCTGACGCTATCAGAGTAAATAGTCTGATTAGTCTGACGGATCAGACCATCGAGTTTGTGAAAAATGGAATTCCAGAGTAGTCAAATTTTCATCACTGAGAGCCTCAGAGTTATTGTTTTATGGCCCCTGATTCATTGTAATAGGCCTCAGTGTTAGTCATTTCTGGAGTCTGTCACTACAGAGTATGCGTTCTGTGGTCCCTGCATGCAAGTTTATCAGGAGGAAGCTTCCTTGAAATTTCCTTTCGATACACCCACCTCCTAGGTTCACTAGTGAGGGTCAAACTGGTGAGTCAAACCCGTCTTGACTGGTCACAGCACCAGCGTCATTAAAAATTCGCGTTGACAAAGCGAATTCGCGCCGTACGGAGCAACGAATTTGCCCAATCACAGTGAAATGGCCCTGACACAGCAGATTTGAGCTGTCAGAGCACAAAGGTCTTGACCAATCACAGTAAAATGTATCTGACATTGCACATTCGCCCTTTCACAGAACAGATTCGCCATCAAAGTTCAGTTTCGATAATGCACAGCGCGTTACTACACGTACCCTGATCGTGACTTCTCGACCCTGAACACTCAGACTGTATAACTTCCCAACACTGAGCAATCAGGGTGCTGCTTTGCTGGAAAATATGCCTTCAGGGTTATTTTTTTTTTTTTTTGGTGGACATCAGGGTACCTAAATTTGAAACGTCAGCCCTGGAAGAGATCCAAGTTAGTTTGATGCAGTATAATCAAGCTCCATGAGTGACACAGAAAGCATATGCATGCTGCGGCCCACCTCCAGCGGCATAGGGAAGAAATGCCGTCGCATAGCCTCTACCAAAGAAAATGCAACCACGGTCAATAGCTATCCCACCATAAACAGAAGCACCAGGTGTGAACGACCATAGGTTCTGTCCCGACGCAGCATCAAACGCGTACACATGCCCTTGCGCGTCCATTGAACCTGCGAACACCACCCCATTGGCTGCTGAAGGCAGCATGGCAAGTGCTGGGGCAATCGGGTTGGCCGTTGACCACAGCGCAGCCCCCGTTGCAGGATCGAGTGCAACCCATGCACTCCCATTTGTGACTGTAGCGGAAGGTAAAAGAGTTGAATCCGTCGTTCTCAATTCCCACGTAAATCCGTTCCAGGTCCGTCGCAATTCCCCACGAAACGCCTCCGAGAAGTCCTCCTGGGCCAACAGCTGTGGACCACACGATCGATCCGTCGTCACGATCAAGGGCCCACACAAGCCCAGATTTCTGGCCCGCCACTGCAATGTCGCGTTTCGCTTTCTTCCAACCATTTCCTTTCGAGATGTTGCTGTCAATCGACATTAGCAAAGGAGCCATTCCGAAGTCGTAGTCTTCGCCTGGACTCGGAGGGCAGTTAGGTGAAGGGGTTCCCGTGATGCGCGCTAGGTTCCACGCGTCGATTGGGCTCAGGTTTGTCGCCCACTGAATAGACCCACTCAAGAGGTCTATAGCGAGGATAGAATCGAAGTGATTTCCGGGCTCAATGCATTTGTCGGGAAGTGTCGCGCCGTTTTCTTCCTGCTCCTGCTGGCACTGCGAAACGTAATCAGGAACTCGGTAGTTGTTACCGGTCGCGACGAAGACCAGCTCCCTCGCCTCGTCGATTGATGGGTTCGCGCCCCACACGGCCGCGCCGGCGTATAGGCTGGCGTTTCCGCCGTTGGGCGGCAGAGTGAAAGTCTGCCACACTTTTGCGCCGCTTACGATATTCAGCTTCACGACGCTTCCAATGAAGGTGCAACAGGGGTAGGTCGGATTCGACGTGTACAACTCCTCCACAGATGAAACTCCAACGTACAGACCGTTTCGGTACGCCGTACCGGACCCCGTTACAACTGCCGCGGGATGCGGATCAACTAGCGTTTTCCAGACCAGGCCGCCGTCGCTGCGTCTCACCGCCAAGACGTACGCAGGACCGTACACGCTGATGATCATGAGGTTCCCGAGAAACCCGCTGGAGTCGACAACAACAGGAGTGGCACGAGAGTACGGATCGCGACCCTGGAAATTGTCCTGGTCGATTCCATAATCCGTCCGAATGCGCTTCTGCCAAACGGTAGCTCCCGTGCTCCGCCTCACCGCGTACAGGTACCCTGCCGCGTCGGGAAAGTAGACGAAATCGCCGAACACAGCGGGTGTTGCGCTGACATCGCCTTGAGTGGTAAATTCCCAAGATAGTGCAAGCTGAGATGCGGTGTAGGGGGCTATCTGGTGCTCGGTCTTTGCCCACCGGCGGTTCAGGAGGTCGCCTCCGTGAGTGACCCAGGAGCCGTGCGCGCTAGGCAGAACGGAGTAGAGCAGCAAAACTAGCAGGAGCAGAATCCACGAGGCGCGTTGAGAGTTATTCAAATTTCCGAATTTGGCGAGGGAGTTGGGAGTTCAGCTCACAATTTTCTTCGAGCACCAATTCTTGAAAACGAGGGCACAAAACGTCCAACATTTGTAACTAATGTCAGCAGGTGCACTGGCGAAGATTCCACTGACACATGCGAAGGGTTCTTCTAGTTCTTCGCCACCGACCGTTGCCCAGCCGACCTCGCAGACAAATGATGTTGTTTCGCTGCTGCAAAGCAAAGAGGCTAGGTTATCGGAAGGATGCAACGCAAGCAGCCAACCGACCGTTCAGCAGGCTTGGGGGGCACGACCTTTCGGCGTCGCGAGGGGCAGAGCATCGAAACAGAGAGGTTTTGGTGTTCATTTGGAGGTGTAAGGTTTCAAAATCACCACACTCCACCCACGCTGAAGCACTTCCAACCAACTTGCCAAAGCCAGAGATTGTTACTGAAGCAACTTCTAAAATGAAAAACCTCCCAGAGGTGGCCTTTGGACACAAATTACAGCCCCTACAATCCACTCTACACTTCTCCAAAATTTCATGTTCTGCACAGATTGATGCATGCATGTATGAACATACACAATACATTCCAAATAACATCTGATACCCACTTTACGGTACCGGTAACCCCTCCATTCTCTAGTGACCTGTTCCAAATCGAGGCCGTGTCACCTGAAAAGCTCGTGAGACGCCTCAAATACGGAAACGATAGGCTAGTTGCCTTAACAGACTACTTACCCCCCCATCCGCCCCCTCCGTCCCCCCTCCCCCCCCTCTCCCTCCCCCACCCCCCTCCATTCTCTTGTAGTTGGCTAAAGAAAAAGGGCCTCGGTAATCACTTCACCCCCTCCATTCTCTCGTGGTTGGTTCCTGCCCCAAATCGAAGCTGGGTCACCTGATTGGTTAGAGGCACCTTAAAGAGTAAAACAATCTGCTAGGCTCGCCTCAAGACTACTTTACCCCCTCCATTCTCTCGTGGTTGGTTCCTGCCCCAAATCGAGGCTGGGTCACCTGATTGGTTAGAGGCACCTTAAAGAGTAAAACAATCTGCTAGGCTCGCCTAAAGACTACTTTACCCCCTCCATTCTCTCGTGGTTGGTTCCCGCCCCAAATCGAGGTCGATTCACCTGAATGGCTAGGGGCACCGCCCTCCCTACATTTGCTCTCTCCCTCACCGTCCCCACACCCCCTCCATCGTCCACTCCCTCCCCCACTCCCACACCCCCTGGCACCTCTCCGCTGTTTGATGCCTGCATCTGCTGCTGCTGTTGCTGTTGCTGCTGCTGCTGAACCTGCTGGTGCTGCCGCTCCTTCACTCTCAATGCAGCCACCAACGGGGAGGTGTACTGCTGCTTACCCACAGGCAGCTGCGGCGGCCGTGGGCTGAACCGGGCGTTAGGAGGCGGATTCAGGGAGTTGAATTGCGCAGGGGGGAATGGTCCCACCCCGGCAGGGGAGGGAGGGCCAGCAGCGCGACGCATGGCGAGTGCACCCAGTGCACCGGGTGTGCCTAATCCCCCGCCTCCCAGTCCTCCCCCTCCTGATGTTCCTGGGCCCCCTCCTTGCCCAGGGTTTAGGAAACCCATGGGGGAGGCGGGTGGCACGCGGAGAGGGGTGATCGGGGCTGGTGACGCTGACAGCCCCGCATTGTCTGGTGTGGGGTGGGGGAGTGGGGGGTGAAAGAATAAATAAAAGGGGGAAGGAGGGAGTGTCAAGGAGGAGGGGCCAGCAGCGCGACGCATGGCGAGTGCACCCAGTGCACCGGGTGTGCCTAATCCCCCGCCTCCCAGTCCCCCCCCTCCTGATGTTCCTGGACCCCCTCCTTGCCCAGGGTTTAGGAAACCCATGGGGGAGGCGGGTGGCACACGGAGAGGGGTGATCGGGGCTGGTGACGCTGACAGCCCGGCATTGTCTGGTGTGGGGTGGGGGAGTGGGGGGGTGCAGGGTGGAAAGAAAAAATAAAAGGGGGAAGGAGGGAGTGTCAAGGAGGAGGGGCCAGCAGCGCGACGCATGGCGAGTGCATGGCGAGTGCACCGGGTGTACCTAAGCCCCCACCTCCCAGTCCTCCCCCTCCTGGCGTTCCTGGCCCCCCTCCTGCCCCGGGGTTTGAGAAACCCATGGGGGAGGCGGGCGGGACGCGGAGGGGAGTGATGGGGGCTGGCAATGCTGACAGGCTGGCATTGTCTGGTGAAGAGGGGGGGAGGGAGGTGAGGGGGTTGGGGAATGGCGCAAGGCGGGGTGAGGAGGAGGGGGGGAGGAAAAGAGGGGAAGGGGTGATGGGGGCTGGCGATGCTGACAGGCCGGCATTGTCTGGTGTGGGGTGGGGAGGGAGGTACTGGAGTAAGGGGAAGGGGGAAGACGGGGTGAGAGGCGAGAGCGGGAGGAAGGGGTGAAGGGGGCTGGTGATGCTGACATGCCCGCATTGTCTGGTGGAGTGGGGAGGGAGGGGGGAAAGGGGAGGTAAGCCAAGGAAGAGGGGAGAAGGGGGGCAATATGGGGGTTAAGAGGTGGAAGGGAGTACTGTGATGAAATGGTGGGTCCCTGGTCACTGCTTCAGGCTCTTAGCTAAGCACGGTAATTGGGGAGCCAGGGAGTAGGTAGCTGTGTTCCTTACCAGAGAATTTGAGCAGCGGAGTAGGCCACTCCACAACTTGGTCGGTAGGGTACTGCTGGCTCTTAGCTAAGCGTCGTTATTTACAGACCAAGTAGCAGGGAGCGTGGTTCTGGTAGGGCACTGCTTCTGGTTCTTAGCTAAGCAAGCAATGTACCTCAGGAAACAGGGAGATTAGTTCCATACCTGTGAGGTCGAGCAGTGGAGTGAGCGACTCCACAACTTGGGTCATGGTGGGGCGCTGCTTCTGGTTCTTAGCTAAGCACCAGAGCGCCAAGGCAGCCACTTTCTGCGATGCCTTGGCTGAGTACTTGCCCTCGAACCCCGGGTCCATGATGCGGAAGAGCCGGCGGCTGGGGGAGGAGAGGAACGAGAGGAAGGAGAGGAAAGCGGGGAAGAGAAATGAGTGAAGATAAGAGAAAGACGAAGATGCCTTGGCTGAGTACTTGCCCCCGAACCCTGGGTCCATGATGCAGAAAAGACGGCGGCTGGGGGGGAGGGCAGGGGGAAGCGAAAGAGAAAGGGGCGGGAGCTGTCAAAAGAGGTCAGGTGGGCTGCGGAGGCCTTACTTCCATCACAAGAGAAAGGGGCGGGAGCTGTCAAAAGAGGTCAGGTTGGCTGCGGAGGCCTTACTTCCATCACAAGAGAAAGGGGCGGGAGGGAGGGACGTGGTTGTATTGGGTGAGTTTGAGGAAGTTGTGGTTTTGTACTTGCCCTCGAACCAGGGTCCATGATGCAGTAGAGACGACGTCTAGGATTGGGACGATAGGATTGGGGGAAAGGAGGAGTAGGGAGTGGATGAGTTGGGAGTGACGGAGATGACGGTACTTGCCCTCGAACCCGGGTCCATGATGCGAAAGAGCTGGTGGCTGAGGTGGGGTCGATGGGAGGCGGAAGGGGAGATAGGAGGAGTTGGGAGTGGGAGTGGTTGAGTCTGCAGTCCACTGCAGGCACCACACTGCACCGCACCGCAGCTACGTCTCTGATAGGTACGGCTTGGCCCAGTCCAGTCCACTTCTCTGGGTTGGCTCTCATCCAGCATCGTTTGGGACACACCACACACCACACCACAGCACCACACACCACGCCATAGAACACCACACCCCCCACCCCAACCCACCCTAACCCCCCCTATCCTACCGCACTCACACAATCAAACGACGCTAAGCACCATACCACCACGCAACACCACACCACACAGCACCAATCCCACAGGGCACCACACCACACTGCACTACACCACAGGGTACCGCATTACACCGCACTGCACTGCAACTCCGTCTCTGCAAGGTACGGCTTGGCCCAGTCCACCAGGAACACCTCTTCTCTGGGGCGGCTCTCATCCGGCGCCCTCCTGCCCGTCAGCATCACCAGAAAGACCACACCATACCACACCCCCACCCCACCGCACCCCACCGCACCCCACAGCATTGCACCGCACTGCACTCACGTCTCTGCAAGGTACGGCTTGGCCCAGTCGACAAGAAACACCTCCTCTCTGGGGCGACTTTCATCCAGCGCCCTCCTGCCCGTCAGCAGCTCCACCAGCACCACCCCGTAGCTCCACACGTCGCTTCTCGCTGTCAGATGACCTGTCAGAACGTATTCCGGAGCAGCATAGCCCACTGTTCCTACGACCTGCAGTCAGGGCGTGGCCGGGGGACGAAAGGGGAAGGGGCTGTTAGTGAGAGGTGTCAGTAAGCAGCTCCACCAGCACCACCCCGTAGCTCCACACGTCACTGCGCGCTGTCAGGTGGCCTGTGAGAACGTACTCTGGAGCAGCATAGCCCACCGTGCCCACCACCTACACTCAGGGCGTGGTAATGCGGAAGAAGGGGGAAGGGGCTGTTAGTGAGAGGTGTCAGTAAGTAGCTACACATCGCTCTCCACCAGCACCACCCCGTAGTGGCACACATCGCTCCGTGCTGTCAAGTGACCTGTTGGGACATATTCTGGGGCCGCGTAGCCCACTGCGCCTACGACCTGCAATGCAATTAGGCGAGGATAAGGGAGGTGTGTGTAATAAGGGTGGATAGTGAGGCCCATTTTCGAGTCGACTCAAAAATCTGCTACAGTGTACTTTGGAGCAGAATAACGCACATTCGTTTCGTCTGGGAAAAGCCCACCTGCCTCAGACCCATATCCGTGTCCTCTCACCTCACCTGTGTGCTGACGTGCGTGCGTGCGGTCAGTCGGTCGCCCTCAGGCCCCGCGCTGGCAAGGCAAGCACTCATCTCGGGTGAGCTTAGCCAACCCTGCCTCGGATCGGACTAATGTGCCTCTCAAACGCCTGGTCCTACCTGTGTGCTGACGTGGGTGCGGTCACCCTCAGGCCCCGCCCTGGCGAGCCCAAAGTCGGACAGCTTGGCATGCAGGTCGTTGTCCAGGAGAATGTTGGCGGCCTTGAAGTCCCGAAAGATCACCTGCACGGGTGTGTGTGAGGGGAGGGAAGGGCGAGGGGGGGTTTTGAGACGTCTCAAAACACTTCTTCAAACACGAAAGATCACCTGCACAGGTGTGTGTGAGGGGAGGGAAGGGCGAGGAGGGGGGGGATGGAAGAACGCATATTCATGAAGCAAGGGTCAAAATCCGACAGCTTGGCGTGCAGGGCGCTGTCCAGGAGAATGTTGGCGGCCTTGAAGTCCCGAAAGATCACCTGCACGCGTGTGTAGGGGTGGGACGTGGGGGAGGGGAAGAGGACAGGAATCACCAGATATGTATCGATCAGCAAGGGTAAAAGTCTGACAGATTGGCGTGCAGGTCTGTGTCAAGCAGGGTGTTGGCGTGTGTGGGTGGGTGGGGAGGGGAGGAGAAAGGTATGTGCGCACGTAAGTAAAGCTTGACCCTGACTGCGTGAAGGTCGCCGCCCAGTCAGCAGGATGTGGGCACAAACTCGTACACCAGTACCCGGTGCTCCTCCTCCTGTCAATCTTGACACCTCCGCACAGTACCCCAGCAGCAGCAGCCGCACCTCTTGCCCTGGCGGGTGCCAGCCTAAGCACATAGCACACCTCACCTGGTTCTCTGTCTCGTCATGCAGGTATGCCAGCCCCTTAGCCGCATCCAGCAGCTGCTCTTCCCCTGAGGTGCCTGCTCAGCAGACAGACAACTAGCAACCCCACACACAGCACGCCACACAACGCACCTGGTTCTCTGTCTCGTCATGCAGGTATGCCAGCCCCTTAGCTGCATCCAGGGCAACCTTGATGCGGTCCAGCCAGGCCAGCCCGGTGCCACCCTTGGCTCCATTGGTCTTGAAGAGGTGGTCTTCGAGGGACTTGTTGGGCACAAACTCGTACACCAGCAGCCGATGCTCCTCCTCCGCACAGTACCCCAGCAGCCGCACCAGCCGCGGGTGCTGGATGTTTCCCAGAAAGTTCACCTCCGCCAGCCACTCCTTGTGGCCCTGCCAGGGTGATTTTGGAGGGGGGCGGGGGGGTGGGTGGTGGCGGGAAGGAAGAAGGGGTGAGACATCTCAAAACACTTCATTCTACAAGTGTTTTGAGACGTCTCAAAACACTTCTATTTACACCTCTGCCAGCCACTCCTTGTGGCCCTGCCAGGGTGATATTGGAGGGGGGGCGGGGGGTTGGGTGGCGGCGGGAAAGGAGAAAGGGGGAGACAAGGGGAAAGTAAGGGGAAAAAGGGAAGGAAAAGAAAGGGGGTTCAGGTGCAAGGAAGGAGAACGATTTACACAGTCTTGCCAGGCCAAACCAGGAAAGCCCTAGAACTTGTTGGGCAAGAGCTCGTTTCAAACACACGTGGGGGAAAAAGGGAGAAGGCGAGCAGGATAACAAAAGGGGGAAAGCACATAACCACTGTGAACTTCTGCCAATCACTTTAGTCACACTGTCTGTAGGCACGCCCTCTAAAGGACGCACGCTATGAGCTCACACGCACGCACTCACATCACACACTGTCTGTCAGGTCAGGCCCCCAAGCTCAATAAATAACCACCCACAGGCCCACCTGCAAGAAGACTGCGCCCAGCTCTTGACTGCCATTGCAAACCCCTGTCCCATGATAATAATCACACCCTCTATAACCACACTGTCTATAGGCACACTCATTCAACTACCCCCCACACTCTCACCTGCAGCCCATCTATAAAAGGTCTCTTAAAACCGGAGGGCCAAGAAGGCCAACCTTCCTAACTTTGGTTCAACCTTCCTAACTTTGGTTCAACCTTCCTAACTTTGGTTCAACCTTCCTAACTTTGGTTCAACCTTCCTAACTTTGGTTCAACCTTCCTAACTTTGGTTCAACCTTCCTAACTTTGGTTCAACCTTCCTAACTTTGGTTCAACCTTCCTAACTTTGGTTCAACCTTCCTAACTTTGGTTCAACCTTCCTAACTTTGGTTCAACCTTCCTAACTTTGGTTCAACCTTCCTAACTTTGGTTCAACCTTCCTAACTTTGGTTCAACCTTCCTAACTTTGGTTCAACCTTCCTAACTTTGGTTCAACCTTCCTAACTTTGGTTCAACCTTCCTAACTTTGGTTCAACCTTCCTAACTTTGGTTCAACCTTCCTAACTTCGGTTGAGTTTGGCTCTGACACCCAAAATCTTGGCCAATTGCATTGCTCGCCCCAACCCAACCAACCTTCCTAAGGTTGAGCTTCTTGACCCGCGGGTTTTAACTGCCACCACAATCTTCTGCCCCATCACTAAAGGCATACCGTCTATAGGCACAAGAACACACTCACCTACCCATTTGCAGGCTGCAACACCCCCCCACACACACTCAGCAGTCTCTTAACTGCCACCACAATCTTCTGCCGCCCCACCACTGTAGCCACACCGCATATAGGCACACAGACACACGCCTAATACCAGCAGCATCCCCACCCTCTCACCTGCAGCCCGTCTTTATTCAGTCTCTTAACCGCCACCACAATTTTCTGTCCCATCACTATAGGCACGCCGTCTATAGGCCAGGCGTCCACTTGACCCTTGTACACGCCCCCGAATCCGCCCTCCCCCAGAAGATTCTCCCTGCTGAACCCCCCTGTGGCCGCCCTCAGCTCTGTGTACGAAAACACTCGGAGATTTCCAGCGTTCTGCTGGGTGATGGCAGGCATACGTGGCATGCTGCTACTGGTGCTGACGGTGCTGCTGCTGCTGTTGTTGTTGTTGCTGCTGGCGCCGGCATTTGAACCTCCCCCTCCTCCTCCCCCTCCGGTAGACCCTGATTTTTGCTGTTGGTTCTGTTTTTGGCTCTGCTGCTGCTGCTGCTGCTGCTGCTGCTGACTGCCAGACTTGGGTAAGACACCGCCACTACCCCCACCAGAACCCCCACCCCCACCTGAACCCGCCCTTCGGAAACTCCCCCCCAGACCTCCACCACCACTCCCCAGCCCGCTGCTTCCTATGTTACTCCCCCCGCCGCCCCCCCCTGCCCCTGCGCCCCCCCCACTCGAATTCGACGAGCCAAAGGACTGGGGGGACGGTAAGGGAAGCGCCATTCCGCCAAAGAGGGGCGCGGGGGAGCCAGGCACGCGGAGGATCCCGTGGGGGGACATGGGTGGGGAGGGGGGTCTGGGGAGGGGGGTTCCGGGCTGGCGGGGGGAGGGGAGGGGGTTGTGGGGGTTGGATTTGGCTGGGCGGAGCATGCCTTGTGAGGAGGCGGAATGGTTGGGGGAGGGGGATTGCTTGGGGGAGGAGGGTTGGGGGGAGGGTCGGCCTAAGGAGCGGTTGGAGCTAGATCGGCCTAAGAGGCTGCTGCCTATCCGCTCGTTAGAAACCGGCTGCTGCTGTTGCTGTTGGTTCGGACCTGTTTGCTCCTGGGAATGGCTTGATGGCTGGCTGTGTCCGTGCTGCTGCTGGCTGTGCTGGTTGGGGCCTTGCAGAGGAGAGCTGGTGGACGGGCGGTGGTGGGGGGGGAGCGGGGGAGTGTGCGCCCGGTGCCTGTCATTGGACAACGAGCGCGAGATGGCGCTGTGCGCGAGGAACGCACTTCCGCCTCCCCCGCCACTCCCCGCGCTGTTGCTCGTTGGGGCTCCGCCTCCTCCTGCTGCTGCGCTGCTGTCCCGAGATTCTGAGACGATCCCCCCGCTTTTAGCTCCGCTGATACCCCCCCTAGGATTGTTCACAGCAACCCCTACTGAACCTGAGCTCATAGTGCCCCGAGTGTTGGCATCAGCAATACTGCTCTCACCATCACCGCCCGTGCTGCCATCTGCGGTTGTCCCAGGCCCCTCTGCGGCGTCTGGTGGTGCTGCTTCTCCTGCTGCTGGTAGCCCGTCCGTGCTGTCTCGAGCCTCTGCTACATCTGCAACCGCCGCTGCGGATGCAGACGTGTCCTGAGCACCAGCTGTTTCCGCTTCAGCTGCTGCTTCTGCTGAGATGCCTTCCTCGCCTTCTTCGCCTTCCTCTCCTTCCTCTCCTTCCCTAAGCCTCTGATGCGACGACGGAGAATCACCGTCATCCTCACTACACCGGCTGCTAAAGCCGCGCTCTTGCCCTTCACCAGCCTCAGCTACACGCCCGCTCTGCTCCGCCTCGCTCCCCCCTCCTTCCCCTGCTAACCTTCCGCTTCCGCCATCTGCTGCGTCCACTGTGTCCTCATCGGCCGCATCAACTTGCGCCTGTTGAGCCTCCGCGGACCGGTTGAGCTCCGCAGACCCGTCTTCGTCCGCGGACTGGCCTACTACCGCCGGTGCCTCCGCCTTCTCCCCAGGAGCATCAACGACAGTGTCCCTGGCGGCTTCAGGCGGCGACTCTTGCAGCACGACAGGCGGGTCTTGCTTCGAGAGCGCGACTGATGCGGCGGAAGAGATGTCTTTCGCGAGGCTGGAGACTTCCGTCGCAGGAGGCGCTGCTGCGAGAGCTGCGGTCGTTGCTTGCGAAGGTTTCGCGGGATTCTCTGCTGCGGAAGGTACCACTGCTGCTGGTGCTGCTGCGGTTACTGATGGTGGTGCTACAGGCTTGGTAGGTGGGGGGAGTGGAGGGTTGTCTACTGCTGCTAGAGCCTTGGACCCCCCACACCCCATGGGCGAACCCTTGCCCTGAACCTAAATTACTCACAACTCTGGAGTTACTAAACTCTCAGAATTATGTCAATATGAAGGGTCCAGAAAAGGATATTATAGACGGTTGAATACGGTTCAGAATGCGCTGGTCGATGTTCTCAGCGGTAGCGGCCGCATTCTGGAAAGCGAGAGGTCGGAAAACGAAGCGCAGCACTTATTATGTTTATTTCCAAAAACTCCTTCCGGAATGAATGACAACAGGGAACGTCAGGTATTCTTGGACAAAAATCTTCTATTTGTAATGTATTGTTAGAAAAAAACCCACGATTAAAAATAAACACGTCGTGAGCTATGAGCGTGTCTATCCTTCAAGGTTCGGAAGTGCTCGAGCGGACCTAGGAATTGTGTAGCTGTTCGATGGTTGCCAGCAACCCATGGATGTTATTAGTCTCAGGACTACTGAATCATTCCGCCTCTCGACGTTATCGCACTTCTTAAAACGCTGGAAGCATAGGCGTCAACGATTGTGAGGAGTGTAGGTCAGTAAGGCCTATCTAGCCTTTTAATTGCTGGCGAAGGTACAGTGATCAATGCGAGACTGGAAATGTATAAGTGAGCTTCGCGAAACTGACTCGCAGCGTTTGGAGACCGCCAAACATGATCGCCAGGCTAACAAAAAATGCATTTCATAGAACCTGTACTGAAATTGGTAACGAGCCATCTAGCGTAGAATGCGGAGAAATGGGAGGTGTACGGAACGCATTCCGAGGTTCATTGTGAAGCATCAAGGATTGGGAGTGAAGCATCAAGGTCGGGGGGAACCAACCCAACCAAATTATGGGTGCGCGGAAGGCGAAGGGGAAGGGGGGAGAGAAAATGGGGAAGCGGACGGAGAACGTCGAGGAAAAGCTGGCAATTTCTGGGAGGAGGGGGCAACTGTGCGGGGCTGGCGGAGCTGGTTCGGGAGAGTGGAGCGGAGTGGCGTGGAGCCACACAAAATGCACGAGCGAGTGACCGCAAGTGGGCTTGTGGTTGTGGTTGAAAACGAGGCAGGGCGGAAGGGGGGCTACAAGAGGATGAGGGCTCGGGGAAGGGGTGGGCGGTGAACTTTCCCCTTTCCCCCGCCAACAACAGGGCGCAAGCAAGAAGCATCAAGAGGTGGAAGAAAGGAAGAAAAGGGTGGGGGGAGGAGGGGGAAAGGGGTGAGGAAGTGGTTTGGGTGGGGAAGGAGGCTAGCTTTGTCGCAGAGCCATGTGAAAACAAAATTGGGTTTGCCTCGCTGTTCCAGTTCGGTCAAATGGGTACAAGACTGGATGACTCTTGTCAAAGCTCCTAATATAACATGATTTCATCTTTTACGATTAGGTGGTACATGAATACCCAAAATGTTAGGCCCGACGGCCTAAGTCCACTAAAGAATTAGCGGGGTCGACTAAGTCGAGGATGAAATGCAGCAGAAGATTTTGGCGAAAGAACTATTAGCGAAATAGGCGAAGAAGTTACTGAGTAATTGAATAAGAGTTGAATGAGAATTGGTTGATAATGGCAAGTACAAGCAAGGTTGATATAGCATGCAAGATCGAATGTTGGAAAGTACTTCGTGGGACTAGGAATTGAAGGCAAGAAAGGTAGAGTGCCACGTGGCACTAGGAAATCAAGGAAGATAAGGATAAGGGTGAGTTGGAAAGTATTGTTTGGAATTAACAGTAAATCCCCCCTTAACACTACCCCCCTCCCAAGGAGGCGACGTCCGCGGCGCCTGCAGACTGAAGGTACGCTTGGAGGCACGCGTTGTCGGGAGACAGCGAGGACGAAGGAACCCAGCTGTCGTTTGCTGCGTCATAACCACGCCAACGAACCAAGAAGTCGATGAAAGGGACACCCCTTTGGAGACGGCGACGGTGCCTGAGGATGTGCTGGATCTGGTAGTCGGGCTCGTCGGTATCAACAGCTACCGGCAGTGGAGTGCGATCACGGCCCGAGAAGGTGGCGTTAGGATCGGTGTAAGGACGAAGAAGCGACACGTGGAATGATGGGTGCATGCGGAAATGAGCGGGAAGGCGGAGGCGGTATGCGACTGGTCCTAGTGCACGCTCAATGACGAATGGACCAATTAAGCGAGGGTGAAGCTTGCTGTCCTGTGGCAGTCGGAGATTGCCGCTATCAAGAAGAACACGGTCGCCGACTGCGAACGACACTTTACGACGACTGCGGTTGGTGGTGCGTGCCATGCGTGCATTTGCGAGCTCAAGGTGCTTCCTCACGTGATCATGGATGAATGCGAGATGCTGGTGGAAGTTGTCCGCACGAGGGACTGTGGGTGTGAGATCGACACGAGTGGGGACATTGGGGTGCTGACCGTACAGTGCGAAGAATGGTGACATGCCTGTGGACGAGTGGTGCGTGTTGTTGTAAGCGAACTCGGCCATGCTCAGCTTCTTGTCCCATGCGGCTGCGTCGTGTATCGTGATGCTGCGAAGAATGTGTTCCAAGGTCTGGTTCACACGCTCGGTCTGTCCGTCTGTCTCTGGATGGTACGCAGACGACATGGCTAAGCGAGTCCCAAACAGTGCGAAAAGCTGCTTCCATAACTTCGAGGTGAATCTAGGGTCGGTATCGGAAATGATGGAATCTGGAACCCCGTGCAGTCGGACTACGTTATCTAAGAACAGCGTCGCGTCTTCCTCTGGTGTGACCTTGCCGTGCATGGGGATGAAGTGCGCTGCTCGAGAAAACTTATCCACTACCACGAAAATGGCGTCATAACCCCTAACTGTGCGCGGTAATGCCATGATGAAATCCATGGTAACAACCTGCCAAGGGCGGTCGGGCGGTGGAATCGGCTGCAAGAGTCCTACTTTGCAGTGGCGAGAGGACTTCGTACGCTGACACGTGTCGCACGAGCGAATGTAATCCTCTACGTCTGCTGCAAGCCCTGGCCAGTAGTACGTGCGACTAAGCGTCTTAGCCGTCTTATCTGCTCCGAAGTGCCCTGCACTAACTACGTCGTGCGCCTCTGAGAGAAGGAGCTGTCGAAGAGGGCGGTAGGCAGGAACCCAAATCCGTGTGGTACCCTTCCGTATGTAGACACTACCATGCACCTCTGCTCCTGCGGGCGGCTGTGCTGTGAAGTCGGGATCTATTGTGTAAGCGTGCTCGAAGAGTGCTGTGAGAAGTGGATGGCCGGCAGTGACTGTGAGGCCAGCGAGCTGGCAACTAGGGCGAGTGAGCGGATCTGCTGGGTTGCGCACGCCTGGCTTGTACTCTATCCTGTAGTGGAAACTCCCCTCCATGAACTCCATCCATCTAGCCTAGCGACGACTCAACTGCGGTTGTGACTTGAGAAAGCGAAGCGAGCAATGGTCCGTGCGCATCACACTATCTGCCCCCTCTAGGTAGCACCTCCACACCTTATACGCATGGATGATCGTGAGCGCCTCCTTGTCGTATATGGGATAGTTCAACTCCGCTCCCCTAAGCTTACGCGACTCATACGCGATCGGCTGCAACCCACGTCCCTGGTCCTGAAGAAGCACTGCTCCTATGGCCTGATCTGAAGCGTCGGTCACTACAACGTATGGGCGAGTGGGATCAGGGTACGACAGTGTCGGTGAAGACGTGAGCAACTGCTTCATCTGCTCAAACGCCTGCTGCTGCGCTGGACCCCAAAGAAACTCTACGCCCTTCCGAAGTAGGTCGGTGAGTGGACTAGCAATGGAAGCGTAACCCTGAACGAAACAACGGTAGTAATTCGCGAAACCGAGGAAGCTCTGCAGTTCCTTGACTGAGGTCGGTGCTATCCAATCCTGTACTGCTGCGATCTTCTTCGGGTCGGTCCTAATGCCACTAGCGGAAACGACGTGACCTAGAAACTCGACCTCGGGGAGGAAGAACTCGCACTTTGACTGCTTCGCGTACAACTGCTCTCTCCTCAAGACCTCAAAGACCTTCTGCAAGTGCTGCACGTGCTCCTCTTTCGTCTTGGAAAAGACTAAGATATCGTCTAGGTAGACTACAACGAACGAACCTAAGAACTCCGAGAGGACTATGTTCATGAGTGTCTGAAATGTCGCTGGGGCGTTGGTCAAACCGAACGGTAGAACTCTAAACTCGTACAACCCCTGCTTCGTACGAAACGCCGTCTTGTGCTGGTCCTCTGGAACTACACGAATCTGATGGTAACCCGAACGAAGGTCGATCTTTGAGAAGACTCTAGCGCCCTGCACTGCATCGAGAAGATCCTCTACTCTCGGCACCTGGAATCTATTATTGACGGTGGCGGTGTTCAGTGCACGGTAATCTATGCACATCCGTAACCCTCCGTCTTTCTTAGGCGCGAACATGATCGGTGCTGCCCAAGGCGATCTAGATGGCAGTATGAAACCCTGTGCGAGAAAATGCCTAACCTGCTACGTCTATGTCTCCGCTGGACTCAACCTCCACTGCAGCTTTGCTACTGGCCTGCTCCCCGGCTCCAACTCTATTCGATGGTCTACTACTCGGTTGGGAGGTAACCCTGGGGGCAACTCGTCGGGGAAGACATCTGCGAACTCTGCTAATAGTGCACTCACCTTAGCAGGAAGAGTCGCCTTCACACCAACTGCTGCACTCCCTCCTTTCCCCTCCTCAGCTTCCACCTCCTCAAGGAAAACCGCAAAGATCTGGGCCGCACGCTTCACTAACTGTCGCACACGAACAACATTAATGATAGCTGTGGAGGATGTGGCCGCATCGCCCCACTGTGGCAGCTCCCGGAACTCGCCATCTACCTTGACGCTGCAGCTTCCCTGAGCCCAATCAAACTGAGTACTAACCGTGCGTAGCCAATCTCTACCGAAGATGAAGTCGTATCCGTCCAGCGTCGTAGAGTCGAAATCACGCCTAACTGTGATCGGTCCTAGCACTACGCGCAACTTGCGAATGATCGGTCCTATGTGGAGCGGCGTCCCATCTACCATGCGAGCATCCTTGAAGTTGACTGCAGAATCTGCTTCGAGATGGAGGCGGCTGACTAACGATGA